ACAAATCACTTGATCATTGTCTTTGGTCCACCCTCTCTGGGGCACCTGGTGCTGGCTGCTGTCGGCAGACAGGCTACTGGGCTAGATGGACCTTTGGTCTGACCCAGTATGGCCGTTCTTATGCGTTATGCCCAGGCTGCAGGAGGCCCTGTATGGCTCAGCTGTGAACCATCTCAGAGTTAGGAGCTGAAGGTATTTTCTGCCAGTAGCCAGGGGAGAAGGAAGAGAAGCCCCCTGTGGTTACAGTGCTCACCTGGAATGGGGCAGACCCCTCACGTTCAAGGCCCCTCTCCAATGAAAATGGATTTAAACCGGGGCTTCCCACCTCGCTCATGAATGCTCAAAACAAAGGGAGATTCTGAGATTGAGATTTGCCTCTGTCTCTCCTATTGTTCCACTGTGGCTAGAGAACAAGTCACTGGGCCAGAGAGGGGACAAGCACAGGTGTGACGCTACAGCCTGGTGGTTAAAGCATCCACTTAGGAGGTAAGGGATCCAATCCCCATTCTCCAACAATTCTCTCTCTCCAGAGCTATCTGTGTACAGTTCGGCAGAGGACTTTTTTGTGTGACTTGCTCTGGGGTTTAGGTAGCTAGATGTCTGGTCTGGGTCTGCAGTGCATAAGTACAGAGGCAGAAATGCAGATGACTAAGAAACTTTGTGTGGCATTGCGCCCCCATATTTTTATGGAACTAAGTTTTTAAATATGCATAACGCAAATATGCTTTGCGCAAATAAGGGCATGTACCCTGTCACTGGAGAGCTGTTAATCCCCTGAAATGTGTATACTCTATTTGTGTGCATGTATCATTCCTGTGTTTGATGAAGTACAAACCCGTTCATATATATAGATATGCTAATGAAGTCATTAGCAGTACTCAAGGAACTTAATAGCCCAGTGCTCAAGACAATAATCTGTGAAGAGCCCTGTTTTTCCTATAAACTGGATTATGGTTGGTCCTACAAAGCCACGTGACCATGCCACCTGGTGCTGGAATATATCTTGAATTTGGTACTTTCCCACAGAGGGTTGGGGAACTGAACAAAGACTTCCCACCTGGGGAAATTCTACATTAGCAATGAGACATGAATGATGATTGTCTTCAGCTGGCTCTGCAGACTGCTCCCCATCCTGAGTGAACACATGAAAAAACTTGGAAACAAAAGAGTGATAGGGACGGAAATGGACCCAGATCAGAGAGAACTGCTCTGGACTGAAAAGACTTCACATGAAATGAGAACGAGGGTGAGAAAGTATCATTTGTAACAACTTCGCTTAGTGTATTAGGCTCAGCTGGGCTCTTTTGTTTTATTTGAGCTTTGTAACTTACTTTGATCTGTCTGTGAACACTTGCAACCTACTTGTCATAAATACCTGTAAGTAATAAAATCACTTTTGTTTATTATCAAACCTAGTGTAAACAGCTGTTAAGGGGTGGGCGCGGGACAGAGGGCAACAGCTGTGCATCTCTCTCTTTCATTGATAAAAGGGACAAACATAAGAGCTTGCTCTGAGTAACACTTTTATGCGGAGTCAGATAGATTTCTCAAGGCTTCTGGTCCCACTGAGGCTGTGCACCTGGGTGCTGTGTCAAGTCCCTGTGACTGAACCTTTCCATTGCTGAGCTGTTCTAAGTGTCTGTGTTGCTTTGTAACCCTAGCTCGGAGCTTTGCTGGGGGAGACCATAGA